TATGGGGTTGGGGGGACATCAAGGACATGGAAGGACATGGAGAGACATGGAGACAGAAGATGGACATGGGGATTGGGAGGGACATAGAGATGGGGGGACATCAAGGGCGTGGAGGGACATGGGGTTGGGGGGACATCAAGGACATGGAAGAACATGGAGACACATGAGGACATGATGTCCCCAGGTGATCATGGTGACCGGAGACCACCCCATCACGGCCAAGGCCATCGCGGCGGCCGTCGGCATCATCTCCGAGGGCAGCGAGACCCCCGAGGAGGTGGCAGCTCGTCTACGCGTGCCCCTTGAGCAAGTGGACCCCAGGTGGGACTCAGGTGTCCGAGAGGGGACCCAGATGTCCAGGAGGGACCCAGGTGTCCAGGTGGGGGGGACCCAGATGTCCGGTCGTGTGTCGTCCCCCCCAGGCAGGCGCGGGCGCGGGTGGTGACGGGAGCGGAGCTGGCGTCCATGACACCGGAGGCTTTGGAGGTTCTTCTACGCGCCCACCCCGAGATGGTCTTCGCCCGGACGTCACCGCAGCAGAAACTCGTCATCGTGGAGAGCTGCCAGCGGCTGGTGGGGACATTCGGGATGTTGGGGGGACATTGGAGGGACACGGGGACACTGGGGGGGACACGGGCATGGCCCAAAGCCACCACCAGTCCTGGTGGGAAGGGGTCACTGGGGACACTGGGATGACCAGAGAGGTGCCCTCAGCGTCCTTGTCCTCAGGGTGCCATCACGTTGGGGATGGGGATGGTCCCCACATCCCCAAGGTGCCACCATGATGGGGATGGGGATGGTCCCTGTCGCCATCTCCCTGGTCCCCACGTCCCCAAGGTGCCACCATGATGGGGATGGTGATGGTCCTCAACCCTCACTTCTCCACTCCCCGTGTCCCCAAGGTGCCACCATGATGGGGATGGTGATGGTCCTCAACCCTCACTTCTCCACTCCCCGTGTCCTCAAGGTGCCACCATGGTGGACATGGGGATGGTCGTCAACCCTCACTTCTCCGCTCCTAATGTCCCCAGGGTGCCATCGTGGCGGTGACGGGGGACGGGGTGAACGACTCCCCGGCGCTGAAGAAGGCCGACATCGGGGTGGCCATGGGCATCGCCGGCTCCGACGCCGCCAAGAACGCGGCCGACATGATCCTCCTCGATGACAACTTCGCCTCCATCGTCACTGGCGTGGAGCAAGGTGGGGCTGGGGACACCGGGGGTGGGTGACGTGAGGTGACACCGCCCCGGTGACACCGTCCCCACCCTTCCCAGGCCGCT